GAAAAAGTTTGTGCGGCGTGGAGCGGAGCGCGGCGGAGCGGTGCGAACTTGGGCTGAGTTAGGCGAGGCTCTGCGGCATCTCCGCGGGGGGACGGGGAAGAAGGCGGGGCGGCGGGGGGCTGCGCTGCGCTCCGTCGGGGTCCGGGGTCCGCCGTGTCGGGAGCGGTCTGGCTGAGCTCTGCCGTGCCTGTGCCGGGGACAGCGTGAGCGCTTCTCCCGTATCCCGTTCGCGCAGCGGCCGAGGGAGCGCGGACACCGGCCCGAGCCGCCGGCTGTGCGCGGCTGCGGTGGCGGAGCCGCTCGGCTATCTTTCCTGCTAAGTGTTTCTGGGGCGGTCCGCCGAGTGTTAAATCTGAGGTGGAAAATAAATATCTCTGCTGGGCTACTGCATCTTGCGGATGAAGTATGTCTCTATGACATCTTAGTGTGGAAACTGTTTGAAAAAAATCAGGAGAAACTGCGAATGACTTATTAGCTTATAGGGAAATAACTGAATGTGATAGCTGTAATCTTGTATTTGAGAATATAAAATCAGTTATTCTGCTGATTGTTCAGAATTCGGAATTCAGCTACTGCTACAAATGACTTGAATAAGAGATGTAACAAAGTATTTTCGGGCAGTAGTTGTGAAGACTAACATTCAGGTTTGTTGAGAAAGTATCTTATCTTTTGTTTCATATAAAATACGACTTACTCTGCACAACGTATATGTAACTAACTTCTGCATTACAGATATTCTTCAAATTCCTTAACCGAAACACCTGTTATTATCTAGAGGGTTTTTCCCTGTATTAGAAGGGCTGTTAGTCAAGAACACTTATCTCTGCCATACGTGAATAGTCATTCTTGCATAATTCTTTACCGTTTCATTTGTTTCAGGATCAACTCTTGTGTAAATTTAAACTATTTTCTTAAGTATTGGTAAGAGGAGGACTTTTAAAAGGTACTGCGTAGGTATTCTTAGTAACATCCTACATTTATTCTAAATGCATGACATAAATCAAAACAAAATGAAGGGTGACTGAAAATTTTGTCTTGACTCATCCAAGACAGTGTACTAGGTTCTGATCAGAAGCAAGCCAAGTTCTCTCTGTAAACCTGAGTCGATTTTACAGAGGAGCTACTCCCATTTCAATCCTGGTCCAGCACCAGCGTTCTACTTACACATCAATGACTGTTGCGCTGTGCACGCATAACATTTCAATTAATGCTGCCTCAGCTGTCTAAAGGTCTGATGAGATGCTTGTTAGCACTTTGATTGCTTTTTTCTGGCAGTGTTGCCCCTGCATTTGGGATTTGGACATTACATGTTCATAGTGGAAAGTAATTACAGCAGGTAATAATCTTTGGTGTATCCATTAAAATAATAGTTTCCTCATTTTTGTACATCGTCTGGGGACAGTTTTTACCTTCCACTAGGATATTTTTTTTTGTCAGCAACTGAGGAGAGCAGTGGAAGAGGCACATGAGATGCATAAAATGCGTATTGGTAAATTGTTATCCATGGGGTTACTGCTTAAACAAACATATAATTGCTGTGTCTGGTGGGATGTGACAGAGCTTTATGCTGTGTATTCTGATTTAAATTTCAAATGTAACCCAGTGTATAAAATGCTTTCGTAAGTTTCTAATCACTTCCTATGTCACTAATATCAATAATATGTTTGTCCTTTTAAGACGAATGAAGAAAACACGTCCTGTGAAGAGTAAAAGTACTTGATTCTGGGAAGACTCTTACAGCACTTCTAACTTCAAAGCTGGAGAAAAGTATGAAGGAACGGTTCATCTGACTCCCTCAGCATCTCGCACAGAACACAAAATGGCTCTTCAGAAAAAGACTCTTGTCGGTGTCTTGGAGGAGTGGTGTTTGGCGGAACCGCTGTTCGGTTGCAGGTGGCACCAGAACGTTAGGAAAAAACTGAGACTGATACGAATTGTAGGGCTCCTTGTCAGTGTAGTGGCCATTAGTACTTTCTCACTTTCAATGAGTGCCTTTTTCAAGATGGAACCACATAGCATGGCGCTGGTCAGCAGCCTAGATAGCCAAAAGCTGGTGCGTGGACACCAAAGAACTCTCTTGGATTTCACGGAACAGAATGAAAACGGCACTCCAGATCCACATGCTTCTATGAAATACGAAGCTGGGCGCGACAATGAAACAGATGATCATGCGAAGGGAGAGTACCCCGAGGACCTTTTCTCTCTTGAGGAGAGGAGACAGGGAGCAGTGATCCTCCATATAATTGGAATGATTTACATGTTTATAGCCTTAGCCATAGTCTGTGATGAGTTCTTTGTTCCTTCCTTGACTGTCATCACTGAAAAACTGGCCATTTCTGATGATGTGGCAGGGGCAACCTTCATGGCTGCTGGTGGGTCCGCCCCAGAACTCTTCACTTCTTTGATAGGAGTGTTTATATCCCACAGCAACGTTGGCATTGGTACCATAGTGGGATCTGCCGTGTTCAATATCCTATTTGTTATTGGAATGTGTGCTTTATTTTCTAAGGAGATCTTGAACCTCACTTGGTGGCCACTCTTTCGAGATATGTCCTTTTACATCATCGACTTGATCTTGCTAATCATCTTCTTTCTGGATAACTTCATAATGTGGTGGGAAAGCATAACACTCCTGACAGCGTATTTTTTCTATGTGACATTTATGAAGTTCAATGTCCAAGTAGAAGAATTGGTGAAGAAATTTTTAAACAGGAACAAGGTTGAGAAGGTAACAACAGATGCTGAAGGAAAGGTTGGTTCAATTTTTAGTTGAATTACATGTAATAATGTCCTTGCAAGTGCCGAGTCTTTCTATAGCATAAGGGTTCTATTATATATAGTACAGTAACCAATATAGAAAAGTTCCCTGTTTTGCTCAAATGTCTTTTTGTTTAATCAAACTGATACTATTGAAAACAAAAGAACAAATAGCCTTCTAGCAAATAAATAGCTTTTAATTCCAGAATGATCCTGATCACACAGAAAGCAAGAAAGAAAATGCCAGCAAAAAGACATAAACCTTTACTCAGCATTTTGGCACATTGATGAGGTCTGAGCTATTTTTTCCCTAAGCTTTTGGATTAAGCAGTGGCAATATCTGGGGAGGATCTTGTGACAAAATTTTGCTTTCTAAAGACTTTTAATGCACTTTCTTCCTTAGAGGAGGTACCAATAATTCAGAACAGTGTACAAAGGTATTTTTATACCTGTTTTTCATCTACCGATGCTGATAATGCAGCATTAACTAACTTCCTGTTGTAATTAGCAACAATTACATGAAAAAAAAATCATGAAAAGAGTGACCACAATGGCAAAAGTCATAGGTTCTCTGTTTAAGGAGGATGGTTTCCCATATACCATTTGCAACTATGCAAACTATTTTTTTCTCCACAAGCATATAATGAAATTTATGCACAGAGGGTTTGGTGGGTCTCCACCGATTATGATTATCTTTTGAACAGTTTTCTTCTTAAAGCCAGCAATATTTAAAGGACCTATGAAGCTGAGCTGATTAATACTTATGAATGTTGCAGTATGTTGGTTGGAATGTCTGTTTTTATATGACTTTGGGTATATTCATCAGATAAAGCTTTATTATGCAGTAATTACTCACATTATCAGGGACCTAGCTGCTCACTGTCCTGTTTCTTTTGTTTAGCAGTTCTGTGTGAAATGGTTCAGAAGAGACACAATCCACCAGTATCAATGCACAGGCACATAAACAGGAGGAGAGATAGATTGTGACAGAGACATTGTGTGACAGATACATCTGGTTTTAGGGGAAGCTACAAACCATCAAAATCAAAACCCCAAAAAAGTATCTTCTTTTTTTTTTTCCTTTATTTTATTCTCTAACAAGGTTTAACAGCTGTACAGTTACTTGTAACTTTATATTTTCCTTTTAGGATTTGTTTGTTTGTTTTCCAAAATCAGCATGCTCATCTTCGTCGGATTTTATAAGTAAATGAAAAGAAAGGTCAATACCAACAAAATACTTGCATTGCTAGCAGAGAGCTTCTTTCACTACATTAGTTGGTTTCTATATAATCTAAGAGTTCATAGTGCACTGTAAGTCCTTTGACAGTGCTGAAAATATGTGGTGATAGAAAGACTATGGTATATGGAGCAAACTTTATCTATTCAAAACTGGACATAAAATATAGATCTCTAGCTGGTCTGAAGCAATCATCAGTATGAAAAGCAACTGCCTTGTGTTGTTGAGGCTACAAGGTAAGGGAGAGTAGCTGTATATCAAGGTGTTTATTTTTGGCTGAATAGAAGAAAAAAATCATTTGAGAACCACATTGAGCATTATTTATATTTGAAGAACTCTAGATGAACTTGATTTTAAAAGGATACCCTTAGGACCACTCATTTATTATTTAACATATTAATTAGTTAGAGTTTGTTTATAACACAGGTACTCAGATTTCAGATAGGGGTGAAAAAAAATTAAAAATTGGCTACTTTTCCTAAAACCACAAGCTTTGCATTGTATGTTTCATGAAAATATTTTTCCTGAATTAACTTGAATTTAATTAAAATGATAAAATAATGTATTCATGAATCATTGAGGGGTGAAGAAAGATGAAAGATGCTCTAATTTTATTGCAATTTAGCTAATGCATATTTTCTGCTTCCTGAGGAAAATAGCTTTTCAAGGTGTCAGACCATGTTTTTACTCTGTGAGCCATGCTGTAAAGACATATTTTTGAATATTCCACTCACACTTTGAAATTATAAGCCATTATGACTGATTTTATTCTTTGCTTAAACAACATTAAGGAGGATGAATGTAATTTTTTAATAGCAAGGATGTCACAGATTATGTGTGTTGGATAAAATCGCAGTGAAGTTCTCTCTTAATCTATTTGCTATTATTAGATAATTGGTTGTCTTGCTTTTTAAATTAAAAAAAAAAGCGAAAAGAAAAACTATTATGTGCAGTCCCAAGCCTAACAGAGATGCCTGGGGCTTTCAGCTTGAAGTTACTGTCTAAAGCAAACGATAAAATGCTTTAATAGTCTGAGGTCTGGTGCCTCGTAGTGAATGCGAGGCACATGGATGTTTATTTCCAAAACTGTGAGGGTTGTAAGTATCACAGAAGTGATAGTCTAGGCTTTTGGTGGCAAAAAATATTTCCTCTCTGAAGTATTAGCTATTAGCCTAGCTTGCTTCCACTCATCAAGAGCATGTATGGACAATTGTATGTATCGAATTAGTGTACTGAACTGAGAATCTGCAGTCTCAGTTGTTTCTGATGGAAACTTTTTCACTCTCTTTTCCCCCATTGAGACAGAGAATTGCAAGGCAGCTCTCTGGAACTGGGTGTGTTAAAATCTCTTGAAATAATTTAATTTCAGGAGAATAGAGGAAATTCTCCCTCTTCTAACCAAAACTCCCTCTGTGTATCTGTTGTTGACTCTGCTGCTGCCAAACTGGCAAGTATTCTGCTAAAAAAAGTGTGTGTCGTATTTATCTTTAAGACTGTTGTAATCTGAAAGCAGCTCAACAAATTTGAGAAGTCTAAATAAGGCAACATAAAGTGGATAGTGAAGAGTTAGGTGGCTTATTAGCAAACAAGTACCAAAGATTAAAAAACTGATCAGATGAGAAACCTCTTGAGATACTAAAATGTGTTTTAATGTTATTATCAGTGCTTTTAGTCTCAGTTGTCCTGAGAGGTTGAAGAAAGTTTTATGTTCTCATGGATGGTATTTTCCATGAGAAAAGGCTTTAGATGTGAACTGATTTTTTTGTATCTAGCTTTCATCTGCTCTAGGTGTATTCATCAGGTTGCTGCAATGCATGCATATCTCTGTAGGTGCCTTTTAGATTCCTATTCCCTATTCTTAAAAATTAAAGCACATTTTTTTTTGTACTAGAAAATTGTGACTATTTGAACTTCTGATCTTATTTTCTTTAGTGTGTTGGTTCCTTGTACAAATTTAAATGCAGACAGTGTACTCTATATGAATTTCAATGTGCTCACTATTTTACTTCGCATGCTCTCAAACATACACAGTCTGGATTATTAAAGAGTCCAGGTTGAGAAAATCTGGTGACTTTAATTCTTGGAACAATTTTGTGGCACTGGTGAGGACAGACTACAAGCTTTTTTCATTTAGAGTTCATAGGGTTCATTGGCAAGGTTCTGTTTGAACTGTGGATGGTTCTGCACCTCGCGCCACCCCCTAGGAAGCCTGATGGCAGTCTGATACTGATGATCTCCAGAGAGCACTGTGAGGAGGATGAAAAAAGGAGGATAGATGAAACAGCGAGGCAGCATGAAAAGACAAGATAAAAACCAGATGGCTGGGTTCTACAGTGTAGGATGGCATATGGTATATGTGGATCAAGATGGGTCCCTAACAAGTCACACTGAATGGGCCCTACTGTAGGAAGTGCCATCCCACCCATCCCACCACTTTTGATATCCCCCAAAGTCCTGTCCAGCCTAACTTCTTCTGTGGCATGATTTTTAGGTTTTATGTAGCTATCCAGCAAAGAACAGAAGACTTTTAGGACTGAGGTGGAGACTTTGGTATTAATTTGGTATCTTCCTCAGCTGAATAAAGATGTTTAAAAACATAAGCCTGAAATTGATTATAATAGACAGGAAGAGGAAAGCAGAAAAAGCTAAATGGCAAACTTCTTAAAAATAAGACTTTTTAAAAACTTTCTGCTAAGATTTCAGTCTGTTCTTCATTGTCTGTATTGGTGAAGTTTTGTTGAATGTATTAAGTCATGTTAAAACATCACGTGGAAACTTCAGTGCTTCGGTACTTTTTTTTCCTTTAAAGTAGCATGGAGATCATTGCAGAAATGCTTGAATCTGATTGTTCAGTAAATAATTCAAAACAGTTCTGTTTGGCAACTAGGAGAACAGAATGTGGGTGGTACAGGGATGTTGTGCAATGACATCTGTTTCACTGACAGTACCATTTTAGATAAATAGCTTATGGTATATACAAGACAGTTGCAGTTTTTCTACGTTTACAGAGAACTGCATTTGGAAAATTAGCTATTTTTACCAACATGGCATAGCTATTATTTTATTGCCAATTCTGTTTTCTCAAAAAGCTTGAATAGCTTGTGTGTGATATTTTAAGATCCACATTGATCTCAAGTGTTGCCACGGTGTACTTAATGGCAGTATTTGCATTCTAAAGGAAAGTAACAGTATTTTAGTTGCTTTTATGCTTGGTGGTTGTATCAGCACTGCACATGCACATTCACTGTCATAATGCCTGATCTAGTATGTGTATTCAAGGTAAAACACAAGTTACCTGTATGTGTACAAGAAAAATTGAAACTTCATCTTCCAGGACTTCTTAATGTTGAATCCACAGATCCAGTAATTATAACTCTATCTACAGAATAACCTTTCTTTTCTCACTACCAAGATTTTTTTTTCCGTAGTTTTCATAGTCCACAGTGTTTCATAGTTCTTAGGAAGATTTGACTTTTATTCTAGACACAATTCTCAGTTGGTCTACTTGTGCAAGCACATGTGTGAATACAGAGCTATGAGTATCTGGATCTTGCAAGACAGATGCGTTGTTTTAAGTACATGTTTGAAACATAAGCCTCAGCACTGACATTGAAATATCTTTTGTTTAGATAAATGTCTGGTTTTGTGTCACATTTTGTCTGCTTTTATTATCTCAAAAAACTTTCAATCTACTTCTGTGTTAATTTAATGTTACTCCAGTAACAGGAACTATGAGTTAATTTGCCTTGCATTTTTAG